TTACAAGTTTCAGTTCCTCCCTATATCGTAACTCCACTTTCCAGAAAGGATCCTCACAGGAAGCCACAGCAAGTGGCACTTGCACTTGCTCATGCTTTGTTTCTTCACATCACTCCCTAGCCCACAGCATCCTCTCTATAGGAGACTGGCCCAAGGACAGGGTGCATACTGCTGCTTCCTTACACCACTGGTTGCAGGAAGTGCTGAGTGCGTCCCAGTAACTGACACAGAGCTGACAAGGACCTGAGCAGTAAATACACATAGCCCACAGCCAGCACCTCCCCAGTCTTCTTCCCAAGCACTGAAAGAGCACAAGTCGCAGGCCCATATCAATTACTCACTGCAAGGAGCAGAAAAGGGAAGTCCAAACCAACTGCATTTACTTCCTGAAGAAGCAGTAGGACTTCCTTCATTACAGGATCCTGCTGTGTCTGACACCACTCTCCCACCCCTGCTCCCCTCGTCCCCTGCAGATGCAGTGGTGATGTTGCCCTGGACTTTGGGAAATGTAAGCAGGATTCCCTGCAGGAAGGGTGTGCAGAAGGAACACTGATACAGATGCTGCTGGGAGTCACTGCTGTCCTTGGTAGACACCTTCAGAAAATACCTATGTGCAGTTAAGTGAAAGGGAAATCAACTGTGAATTATTAAGCTACAAAACAACTACTGTGAAAACCAGAAATCACGACAACATATAGACATTTCTGACTGCGAGTTTTAACACAGCAACTATACAACAGATCAGGCACTGAACACGCGCTTCCCTAACAGCACAGGCCAAAATGAAACTCAGGAAGAAAAATCTTAGTGAAAACCTCTATCCAAACAGCTCCCCCCCTGCCAAAGAGCTGTGAAATTGTACACATGGGAGACAGGAAAATCCTCGTAGGAGTCAAAGAAGGTTTGGGCAACCTGAGTTATTTAAACTCACCTGGTTTTATGAGGTTTGGTTTTAAGTAATGACATTTCTCTCAAAACACTGACAAAGTCTTAAGGCAAAGCAGTCATCACCAAAGCAGCAGAAAGCTTTAAGAATACAAACAACGAGGTGTAACATGAGTTACCTGTGCTACACAACCAGAGCCTTCTTTTTGCATGGGAAATCTTACCACTTCTCTGGCAGTTAAAAGTGGACTTCTACAGAGCAAACCTGTATTCCCCACTCATATCCCTGCACAGCCCCTGAAGAAATGTCTCTGACCTTCTCTGGGCCTCCAAACCATACCTGGAAATTCACTGTGATGGGAGGGTGGCTGCTATGCCAGCCAGCCATACAGTGTGTTACAGTGGCCTCATACAGAAAAGACTGGGGAGGAAATCACAGAACAAATCCCCAAGACAGCTCTCCACATGTGAGCATCCAACACAAGTTTTCCATCCAACCCCATTTCCAACACATGCTTTCTACAACCATACACTGCAGGAGCATGTCGGCACTGCTGGCTTCACCCTCCAGCCCACACTGCTGGGCAGAACCCCCTGATTTGGGAACGGATTCCCAAGGAGGTGACTCCAGGCACGTGGCACTACACCTCTCGGTAACAGCTGTAAGTAAATCCAGGCTTCACGTATCCAGCCACTACCCTTAGCACTTCCTGCAGAACCACCCCACAGCCTGGTTTGAATTGTGACCAACCAAAAGATTTCAATCAAACTCTTCAAAGTGGCTCCTAAACAGCAGATAAAAATCTTACAAAAAGGTGGATAGTCAGAAACTGGGTTGGGTGTCAAACTGAATCAGGGAAGCAGGTTTTGTCTGGTTGCCAACACGATTTTAAGAGCCACAGTAAGCACTAAATTTTCAGTGGAGTGATGGAAGGACATGAACTGTGTTTATTAAATCTATATTCCAATAATTAAAGTTAGTCAGGCCTAACTAAAATGAAAATTATTTCCATAAGGACATACAGCATTGTGGGAAGTCGAACGTGAATGACACTGCACAGTCTGGCTCCAGCTGCATGAATTCATTTATAAACCGAGATTAAATGTTCTACTTATGTAACTAATATTGCTACAGAAACACACCAGGAGATACAGAATTGCATGACTAAGCAGATGAGATGGGAAATACAGCTGGTAGAACTGACTTTGCCTTCATGAACACCAGCACCATCACAAGCACACACCAACTCTGACACGACACACACCTTTGACTTTAACCTTCCTGTAGTCTTCCTATCAAAACTGCACAGCCATACCTTTGTGCCTGGGCTCCCAAGTCAATGGGCAGAAAAACCCCATGGCACTACACAGAAGAACATAAAACTTGGCAAGACACTTCCATTGTTACAGCATCTCAGTTATGATTGAAGGCACCCAACACCTCTAAGCTTTCTTTCCCAACGACTACTTCAAAATATAACCCCAAGCATAAGACAACAAAACTTGGTGAACAAACTCTGATGCAGCAACTTTGTCATCCATTGGATAGATCCACAGGATATGTCACCTCGTTCCACAGGCCATGTGTCCTGCATACAGAGGCACACCACTATGGCTGAGCTCATGCCGATTTCATGTTCTAAACTGTACTATTTTATAGCAGAGAACAGTACTGGTGCCAGCAAACACCAGCACTAAATTCAAAGCCTTCACCAGAACCACTCAACAGATTTAATGCATTTCTTCCAAGGCAGCTGCAGTCAGGGGTGAAACGTCCAAGGGTATTTTAGCCTCCAGAATGAGAGGGCTCCCAGCTGCAAAGCCCTGCCACACGAGGCAACTGCAGTTTGCAAACACCTGATCGGGCTTCTTCAAACATTTTATGCTGAAGGCCAAAAAGGAGGGAGCGGGAGGGGAACTCCTCTCCTGCCTTGTGACCTGTCCAAGGATGACTCTTTCTTCAGCAGCTTTCCGGGTCTTCCCCAATAAGCACAAGGTGCAGCAAGCACTTCAACCCGTGCAGAGCTGGGCACAGACCTGCAGCGTTATCACTCCTGCCCTTCTATAGACTGAAAAACAACAAATAAAGCACCAAGGCAGATTTCCTTTGGACTACAGCAAGTCAGGGAAGGGATCCTGCCCCTCTGCTGTGCTCTGGGGATCCCCCCCTGCAGTCCTGACCCAGCTGTGGGGCAACAGCACAAGAGGAACGTGGAGCTGCTACAGCAAGTCCAGGAGGCCACGGAGCTGCTGCGAGGGCTGGAGCAGCTCTGCTCTGGAGCTGGGCTGGGAGAGCTGGGCTGGGGCAGCCTGGAGAAGAGAAGGCTCCTGAAGGGGAGACCTGAGAGCAGCTCCAGTGCCTAAAGGGGCTGCAGGGAACCTGGAGAGGGGCTTGGGACAAGGGCCTGTAGGGACAGGCCAAGGGGAATGGCTTGAACCTGCCCGAGGGGAGACTCAGATACAAAGAAGAGATTATTTTATAATGAGTGTCGTGAAATCAGGTATCCTGGAGAGGTGGTAAATGCCCCATCCCTGGCAGTGCTCAAGGCCAGGTTGGACAGGGCTTGGAGCAAGCTGCTCTAGTGGAAGGTGTCCCTGCACGTGGCAGGGGTTTGGGAATGACTGAGCTTTAAGGTCCCTTCCAGCCCAAAGCACTCTGTGATTCTATGATATAAGTAGTCATTGCTTCTCCATGCCAACTTCCTCACAAACATTTGTGCCATCCATCCTGGCTGCAAGTCTCATCATAGAAAAAGAGCACAAGAAATTTAACCAACACTTCCTTCACTCTCATGTTCAGAGAAAGCCAATCTCTCAGAGCCCAAAGTTGAAGTCTATAATGGCTCGAGCACAGAGCAGCACCAAACCTGGGAAACTTCAGACTGACATTTGCCACTTCCAAGCACGTCCCAAGGAACTAGGCTAAATATGGGACTGTTCTGCCTGTTTGCTGTCACCACCACCACCACATAAACATTTTAGCTTAAGGATATCCAGAACACTGAGAATTCCCATTAAAACACAATGTTAACACTAGGAGTGTATTAGGTGACAACCCCACACCTTTTCACGCATTTCAGCAACTTTGCTTTGACCTAGAAGGCTGAAGCTCTTATAATGCTCTCCCCACCTTTCATGCAGCAAGAGGTAAACGCACACAAATGTGTGCCTGCTAAAACCACACTGGTTAATGCCGCTGTGGTCTGCAGAAATACCCTCTGCCAGCTACAACTGTGATACATTTGACACCCAAATGGAAGCAAGCTATAGATTTGTAGGAATAAAGCTAAAGAGTTGCAGGATTAAAAGAATAAAGGCAGCCTTCAAGACACAAACGCCTGCAAACAAGAACCAAACAGCTCCAACAGAAAGGTGGATTCATTTGCATAGGTGTACAGCCTTCACTCCGCACCATTTCTGTGACCATTCTCTAGTGCCAGAGCAAAACCAACACCACACAGAGCCTTTTACTTGGAACTGTTCCAGAAGCCATCACTGGGTGAAGAGCAAAACCCTCCATTTTTCTTTTTGTACAATGCAGAGTTCATAGCTCACTCTGGAAGAACACAAGTTCTGCTCCTGATCGCAGCTCCCCACAGTTGGGACTTTCTTGATTAGACCCATTAAGCTGTCCTGTCCCCTTCAAAACTTTTCTTTCATCCCGTAAAGACACAAGCATAAAAAATTCACCATCCACTAAACCAGGAAAAGTACAAGTGTAAATCCTTGAACATTCCTATTTCCACATCTCTCAAGGCCCTACAGCTGTGTCTGACAGCAGCAGAAGGCATGCAAGCCCAGGGTCTGCCAGCAATGCAAGGCCACTGTGGAACGAGAGCAGTCACACTGGGTGCAGCATGGTTCCACCTTCTGCTGGTGGAGCAATACCCCAGAGCTTATCTGGAACACTAAGTTTTTGCACGTTGGGCACATGCAAACAGCATCAGCAGCTTATCCCAGATCCAGTCTTGAGGGAGACCTTGGAAAGAGGCTGCATGCCATCAAGCAACAAACCATGCTTTAAAAGGAAGATCCAACAGATGTTTGGCTACCTTCATGGGAAGGTCCCTGACCTTCTGAGTGGAATACAACAGTAGCAGTAATTCAGCTCTTACCTTTACCAGCTGCTTTATCCGTGCACCTGAAAAAGCACAAAAGCAAGAATAAGAGACAGCTCCCACAGCATGACAGCAGAAACCAAATGATGAACACAATGACCCTAATTCCCAGCTGTGGACAGGCCCACCACCTTCTTCTTGCACTGCTGGTTTGAGCCCCTCACACCAACAGGGATTATTTCACACAGAGAAAGGTTGGGTGAACTATAATAACATATCAGCAGAAGCCCAGTCTTGCCCATAACCGCTGTTTCTAAAGCACACGGACTCTGTCGTGAGAACAAGGAGCATCAGCTCCGAGCGCCCCAAGTGCACACGTGGCCGTTTTCCCATTCCCGATGTAAGGCGGCAGAGAGGTGCCGGCATCGCCTCTCGGGAAACACATCCCACCGCCTCCTGCACCGAGCATTCACCTGGCTGCGGAGCCGAAAAGAGCCGGGGCCGGGGAGCACCCGGGCGCTCGCGCAGGCGGCACTCACGGCCCCGCTCACAACCGAGGACCCGCCGGCGACAACAGGCAGGACGGGCAAGGCCCGCAGCGCTCGGGACCGGCGGGGCCAGTCCAGAACAAAGAGGCGGAGGAGCGGGGCGCCCCGCGGCCAAGGGCGGGCCCCGGGCGCCACTCGAGCGGGACAGGGTCGAGACCGCCCGCCAGCCCATACCCTACCCCCCGGCCCCGTTGCCGTAAGACACTCACCCAGCCCGGGAGGACTTCTTCACCGCGGACGGCGTCTCAGCGGCGGGCTGCTCGGAGGCGGGCCGGGCCCCGGGGCTGCTCCTCCGGCGGCGGGGATACTCGGCCTTACGGCGGCGGGACGCAGCGGCGGACCCTCCAGGGGCCGGAGCGGCGGCGGCGGCTGCCCGGCCCCGCTCCCGGCCGCCCCTCAGCACCCGGCTGCCGCCAGACTCCTCCCCCTGCTCGGCGGCGGGCGCCGGCGCACGCCGGCGGCCTGAGGACGGCGGCTTCTCGGCGGCGGGCGGCGGGCCCTGCGCAGGCGGGCCCTGCGCGGGCGGGCGCTGCTCGGCGCCCCGCGGCTGCTCGGCGCCCGCCGGCATCGGGACGGTGACCGGCGGGGCCGCGGCGACGGCTGCTGCGCGCTGCCCACCACCCGCCAAACCCCCCCCGCGCGCCTCAGCCGCGCCCAATCAGCGCCTGCCGCCCACCTTCACGAGGGGCCGCGAGGCGACCCACCCACACCTCGCGCCCGCCAATCCGCGGGCGGGAGGCGAGGGATGGCCCCGCCCCCCGGCCCCACCTCCCCCCTGCCCGCGCTCCTCCCGCCTTTCTCCGCCGCTCGCACAACGTCCAGCCAATGGGCGGCCCGGCTTCGGGGGGGCCCGCCCCCGCCCGCTGCAGCCCGGCCAACCAGCGCGCCGCTCCCCGCGCGCGCACCACCCCGCGCAGGCGCTGCTGGGCTGCCGCGCTCGCGCTCCTGCCCCCCCCCCCCCCCGGCCGGCTCGGCCGCGGCGCCCACCCGACCGCGGCGTCTGCGGCCGCCGCTCTGTATCCCGATCCACCGGCCGCCGTCGGCCGCCGTCCGGCCCTCGGCACCGCCGCGCTCCCTACCGCCGCCGCTGCCTGCTCCCCTCTGGCTGCCCCGGGGTCCCCTGGCCCTGCGGGCGAGGCCCGTTTGGGGATGCCGCTTGGCCCCCCGCCCGGCGCGGCCGTTCCGTGCCGCGGTGCTGCCGCCGGTGCCGGTTGGGGCGCACCTTGTGCGGGGCGGCTTTGGGCTGCCGCTTCTCCTTTAAGAAAAAAAACCGCCCCGTCGGGCGGCGGGTGAAAGTCGGTGACAAAATGGCGGCCGCGCAGAAGGGGTGGTGCTTTCGAGGCTTGCTCTGCCCACTTCCGTTCGGCCCTCGGCGCATGCGCTGTGCCTGCCGGGAGCTGTAGTTCTCGCTTGTGGCCGGAAGCGGCCGCTCGGCCCGTTCGGAGCGGAGCCTGCGGGTGCCCGGCAGCGGCCCCCCCCCCCAGGGACCCACTGTCAGCACCTTTGGAGCCGCGGTACCCTCCGGAGCGCAGCCCAGACCGACAGCACCGCACAAGCCCAGCAGCTGCTTCTGTAAAGCTGGACCCTGTCCTCCTGACCCCTCCAGTGCTGCGCTGTGCACGGCAGCGGGCGTCACAGCCACACAGGTCCTTCCCTGGGGCTTGGGACGAAGTGACCCTCCTGAAACAATCAGGAACTCAAGGGCAAGAGCTTAGTTTGAAGTAGCAACAGAACACTCAGGGTTGGTTGTACTAAAGGAGTATTGGACACTTGGCAAAGTGACCACTGGGTTCCCTACCCTGGCAAAGGAACCAATGTTTAAGGTGTTCTGAAGTGAACTGTCCTCATTGTACTGCTAAAATTCACATCCACGGATCGAAAAGACCCGGCCCAGGTGAAGACCTTTCCTCTCACTGTGTAGTGATAGGAGGAATGACACAGCACACATTACAATTATATGTATACAACCAGTCCTTGTAGGCAGGAGTGGACCTCCTGCACCTTCTGTGGGTAACGTAAGGAGGAGGCTGCTCTGTGTGCCTAGGGTGTGGAGCGGTCATGGGGGTTCCAGGCCTGAGAAAACAAGTCTGTGGAACAGGGTCACTGCACAGGGGGCACGGGTCCGCCAGCCCACCTGGATACTGAGGCTGCCTCGGGCCCAGAGAGCCCCCAGGACTGCAGAGCCTCTGCTGAGCCCTGGCACAGCCCGGGCCTGGTTGGGATGGGGCTGTCCCTGCCAGCAGATGAAGCAGTTCCCTCTGGTGGAATGATGCCTCTGGCACTGGTCTCAGAACAGCCGCTGTCACCCTGCAAGTGTCCCCTCACCAACAGCGGGGCGTGACTCACCTGGGTGCTGCTCCCTGGGATGAGGGTTGTTGCTGTGATTCCCCTGGAGAGGATGATTTGGCTGATCTTGCCTACCGGTTTAGAGCAGAACAAGAGGGTGAAACTTCCACATCAGAAAATCCATCTTTCCCCATCTTTTCTTTCTTGAAAAGATTGGCTACAGTTGGATTTCCTGCAATTCCATTCCAGGGGTCAGTAGAGAGTGCCATTGATTGGTATCTGGATCAAAAGCTCTCCTGCAACAGGAGAGCTCTCCTTGCCCTTGCATCCTGCCCTGGATGAGCTGTTCAAGAAGGCACGACAGGACCCCCACTGCATCAAAGGACATTAAGAGAAAATACCTGCTCCCCGAGGACCCGTTTGGTCCTGTCTCAACCTGCACACAGGGTCCAGCAGATGCAGCAGTGGCGAGGGAGGAGGTGGGTTGGGAGCAGGGCCCAGCACCCCAGAACCCAGCACTGCAGCGCCTGCATTCATCCAGCCAGAGGGCTCGCGGGTGAGCGGCTGCAGCCCTGCGTGCCATAGACTGTCAGGGCTCTATGGTCCGAGGGCAAGTGGAACTCCACAGGGAAGTTCCTGTGCTGAGAAAGCCTGTTTGGCTGGATAGTGCCAGGCCTCAGGCCACTGTCCTCAAGGAAAGGGACCTGGCAAGGCCTGGGGTGCAAGCAGCCATTGACGCAGGGGTGACAGTGGCAAAGAGCCACCAAAGGCCCTGCTGTGCTTCCCGAGGTGGGAGTAGTGCCCCTCAGCTCCCCACAGCGGGGCCAGGAGGGGAAAGCTCAGCCTCAGCCTGCTCCCACCTCTGCTGCTTGTTCCAGAGCTGTGCAGTGCCCTTTGGGAAGGTGCCCCGCCAGCGCAGCACAAGGAGGTGTCTTCATCCCCTCTCCACAGACAGCAAAAGGAGGGGGAATTCAAAGAGCCTGAAAGCTGGTAAATCCTGTTTTGTAAACTGACACCCATCGCTGCGGGGACTCGCTCTGCCTTTCATTTCCTCCTGCTTTTGCGTCTTGAGTCCTCAGCTTTGTTGTTGATGTCTGACTAGGAAACAGAAGCATGTCCAAATCACCGTTCCTCAGCTCCGAGTGCTCCGGTAAACTTCTCCCTGTGCAGGACCACAGACAGTCTGATCCCTCTTGGCAGCAACGCAGGGCTGGGGGCAGTGGGAGCGCATCTGAACAGGAAAGCCCCAGAACCAGAAAAGTCTGGGACACTGACACAGGGATCCATTCCTTCTGCCCCTCCCTGGCGCAGCCTCCGGCAGGAGCTCCCGTGTGCTTCTGCAGCAGCAGCAGGTTTCAAAGGCCGTGTACACACCTCCTGCGTTGGTTACCTGAGTGGTTTGAGGCTCCTGTTCCACACGCAGACGCTTGGGCTGGCTCTTTGTGTCGGTCCGGTGTCAATCTCTCTGTTTTTTTCCGTTGAACTGTTCCTCTCCTCGAGAAGAAAATCTCAGCACAAATTTAAGTCACATCTGCTGCTTCTATTGGTAGTGGCTGAAAACATTCTTTCTCTCCCTGAGGACTCGTCTAGCTGGAAGACAGACTGGCATCACCCCAGCTAGCTTCTGCTCCAGTTCAGCCATACTTTCTGCTGTGAAATAGCTTTGCATTCATTCTGAAATAAACTCAATTTTGTTTCAAACTGGAGTCTTGCTGGGGCAGTTGCTGTTAAGTCTCTGTCGTGATTGATTTCACCTTTGTAGGCAAGGCATGGAGTCGCTTGTGAAAGTGCACCAGCTAAAGCAGTGCACAGCAGCACAGCTCCAAGCAGGCTCAGCGGCTTGTGCCATACAATGGGAAATCTTGGCATAGGAAGTTATGGCTCCAGATGGTTGTTTCCACCGGGGCCCACCCGGGGCTCACCCATCACCGGGGGGGGGGATCGGAAATCACTGACAAGTCTAAAAACAGCCTGAAGGTGCAGGGAGGTTCTGCTGTTGCAGAAAGGGAAGCGCCTGACGCAGTGATCCTGTCCCAGCAGCAGCCATAAGGAGTGACCCGAGCAGTGCCTCAGCTTGGCTTTGGGGTAGGTCTCTGCTGCTTGTCCTGCAACACACTGTGGGGCTCAGCTCAGCACCCCATGTGGTCTTCCTGAGGCAGTCCCTGCTGGGTGTCCCCACTGCGAGCACATCACAAAAGAGCTGTTCCCATGCATGGAGTGTCAGTCATGGAGTGAACCTCGGTGTCCAACTCTGTACAAAGGGGCTTAATTCAACCCTGTTACACCCTGATGGGGAAGGGGGGGTCAGCAGCGTGTAAGAAGGGGCAGTCAAGGCCATGGCAGTGTGGCCTGTGCAGCACGTGTTCATTCCTTAGCCATGCACACAGGTTAGTGGTGAGCTGAAAACCCAAACCCTAAATATCATTGGCTTATCCTCAGCGTAGCTGGGCACTGCTGGGGCACCAGGGACAATGGGTAATGGCAGGACCTGTGAGGCTGCCTTCCCAAATGGTCCTGAATAGCAACAGACCTGTGGGGATCTCTGCCTGAACCTTGGAGGCAGGCAGACTGCATCTGAACCTGGATTCTGTGCAAACCAGCAGAGATGTACCGGCGTTACTCCTGCCTCAAGACACACATTCACAGAATCCCAGACTGGTTTGGGCTGGAAGGGACCTTAAATCTCCTCCAGCTCCAACCCCTGCCAGGGCAGGGACCCCTTCCACTGGAGCAGCTTGCTCCAAGCCCCTGTGTCCAACCTGGCCTTGAGCACTGCCAGGGATGGGGCAGCCACAGCTTCTCTGGGCACCCTGTGCCAGCGCCTCAGCACCCTCACCGGGAAGAGCTTCTGCCTTAGATCTAACCTGAACTTCCCCTGTTTCAGTTTGAACCCATCACCCCTTGTCCTGTCGCTGCAGTCCCTGATGAAGAGTCCCTCCCTCTCCAGCATCCTTGTAGCCCCCTTCAGACACTGGAAGCTGCTCTGAGGTCTCCAGGCAGCTTCTCCTCTCGAGGCTGAACAGCCCCGATGTTCTCAGCTTGGCCTCATATGGGAGGTGCTCATGGGTTCATTGCCGGGAATGGCTGTGTGGGTGTTCTGGGTTCAGCTATAGCAGTCATTTTTCTCCTTCTTAGTAGCTGGTGCAGTGCCATGTCCCTTTGCTCCCCGGCAGAGCCCTGCGCCTGCAGCCTCTGCCTTGGGAGGAGCAGGGGAGTCCCAGTGGTGGGTGAATGCCTCAATGCGCCAGCAGGGGTGGTGGCTCCAGCTGCTTCTGGCTCTGGGGATGTGCTGAGCAGCGTGTCCTGGTGCCCGCAGCGTGTCCTGGTGCCCGCAGCGTGTCCTGGTGCCCGCAGCGCTGGGCAGGGCTGTGCCCGCAGCGTGTCTTGGTGCCCGCAGCACTGGACAGGGCTGTGCCCACAGCACGGTGCCACCAGGGAACGTGCATGGCCCAAAGCATGAACACAGGGAGCGTAGGAGCTGCTGTGGCAGTGCCCCTCTGCCCGCAGCGCTGCAGGGAGCCGAGGCCTCGCCGGCTCCAGGTGACACACAGGGATCTGCAATGAGCAGGAAACTGCAGAGCCATGCAATGTGTTGGGTTGGGAAGGACCTTAACAGCATCTCCTGCCAAATCCAAGGTGAAGCTCCAAATGAATCCTCCCAGAGGACAAGGCCGTATTGGAGTTACCAGCACTGCAGGTCCCGTGTCTGCCTCCATCACACCCTCACAAAGGCATTTCCACCTGCGCCAGGGATGTCCCTCATTACACGTGGCTGGCGGCTTCTGGGAAGGGCCTGGCTCTGCAGGACACACGCTCTGGCTTCCAGCTGAGAAGCCCAAGCAGCTTGGGTGCTTGTATGGGTCAGGAGCTCCCTGGCCAACCCGCTGCCTGGTTTCCTCCTTCCAGCACCCTCAGTTCCCCCTGCCCCAGCCTCTGCCGTGGTCACACGTGGTGCAGAGCACGCAACCCACAGCGGAAGAGCCCTGACGGCAAAGTACAGCGCAGCGGTGGGGAGCCACTGAGTGGAACTGAGCCCCGCGCAGCCCCGGAGCCAGCTCCCGGCACCGACCTCTCACCGGGGCAGGATGGAGGATTTGGGTAAGCCAGGTCCCGCTGGAGCCAGCACAGCGCTTGGTGAGGGGCTGCGCCTCCAGCAGCTCGGGGCAGCTTTGTCCTTCCGCTGCCTCAGGGTGAAGTGGGGATGCTGCCAAGGGGGCAGCAACGGAGCTGCCCTTCCCACTGTGCCCTCCTGCCCAGGGGTAGACAGGGCCCAGCAATGGAGAGCACTTGAAGGCAGGAAACGGGCTGTGGCAGCGCTGGGAGCCTGGCTGCACTGCAGCGGGGCAGCACCAGGCGCAGCACAGTGTCCAGGGTGCTGGGAGCCATCCCTGGGGACATGCGGGCAGGGAAGCAGCCCCACAGTGGGGGCATCACCCCCGTGTCCCTGTGTGAGGGCAGTGGGATGCTGGGGGACAGCGGCGAGGTACGAGCAGGCAGAGCAAGTGCTTCGCCCTCCCCACAGGAAGCAGCGCTGCGGCACGCAGGAGGCACTGAGGTTGGGCTCTCCCGTGTGGGGCTTGTGCTGGGGTGAAGCTGAGGGCTGGGGCTGTTTCGTTGTAAGACAGAGATGGTGTGAGGAGGGCGTGGGGGGGAAGCAGGACCCTGCTGCCAGCGGTTCCCATTGGGAATGGGGACCCGGTTAAGGGTGCTCAGGGCCCCCACAGCCCCTCAAGCCCCAGCGCTGGCAGAAGCTGCTGCGAGGCTGCTTTTGCTCTGAGGTATCAGGAGCCGCCCTGGGCATGCAGGGAGCAGCAGGCGGTGCTGACCCCGCTCTCCCCATGCAGATGCGCTGCTGGAGGAGCTGGAGCAAAGCTCCCGCGAGGCCCCTGGGCTGCAGGCACCGGCACGCCTGGAGGTAACGCCCGGAGCTGGGGCCGGTGGCTGAGGCCCCGCTCAGCTCGTGACACGGGCGGTGCTGCCGGAAGCACCCTGCAGGCTCCCCGGGTTTGTCCTTCCAGGTGCAGTCGCCTGGGGCTCAGCCTCCCGCAGCGGCTGCGGACACGGTGTACAGGTAAAACCGGCCTGGGAAGGCAAAGCCAATGGGGTTTCCCTTTCCATCGCTTGGATGCCTCCTACAGGGGCACCCGCGTGTGCCCCCGAACAATTCCTTCCACGAGCTGGGGGGGGGGGGGTGCATCCTGCATCCTGCGCTTCCAGCAGCCCCCTCCCCGCCGCATGTCCCCAGAGAGGTCACCTCTGCACGGTTCTCAGCCCCTGCCCCCTCCATCTTCGGGGTGGAAGCTGCAGCACCCCTCACTCTGTGCCCAGCAGCCCTGTCCCAGCCCCGCAGCCGCTGTTCCCATCCTCCCCACCCACGGCAGCCGCTCAGCAGCTGGACAAGCTCCTGGCTGACCTGGGCCACATGCAGAGCAAGGTGAGCCCCAGCCCTGGGGTAAAGGGGTTGGTTACTGACCTGTAAGCAGCTCTCACCATCCTCCTGCCTCCTAGTTTGCAGCAGGGGGGCAGGGAGCCCAGGAGCCAGAGAAGACCGAGCCCAAGCCCTCTCTGGACAACATGCTGGGCAGCCTCACCCAGGACCTGCAGGAGCTGGGCATCACGGCCACCCCCACCAGTGTCTGCTCCACCTGTCACAAGCCCATTGCTGGCAAGGTGAGACCCTGACCTCCCTCCAGCACCTCCATCCACCGCCTCCATCCACCCTCCATGCATCCATCCACTGCCTCCATCCACCCTCCACCTCCGTCCAGCACCTGCATCCACCGCCTCCATCCACCCTCCACCTCCATCCAGCACCTCCATTCACCGCCTCCATCCACCCTCCACCTCCATCCAGCACCTCCATCCACTGCCTCCATCCACCCTCCACCTCCATCCAGCACCTCCATTCACCGCCTCCATCCACCCTCCACCTCCATCCAGCACCTCCATCCACCGCCTCCATCCACCCTCCACCTCCATGCATCCATCCATTGTCTCCATTCACCCTCCACCTCCATGCATCCATCCACTGTCTCCATTCACCCTCCACCTCCATGCATCCATCCACTGCCTCCATCCACCCTCCGCCTCCATCCAGCACCTCCAACCACCCTCCACCTCCATCCAGCACCTCCATCCACCGCCTCCATCCACCCTCCACCTCCATGCATCCATCCACTGTCTCCATTCACCCTCCACCTCCATGCATCCATCCATTGCCTCCATCCACCCTCCACCTCCATGCATCCATCCACTGCCTCTATCCACCCTCCACCTCCATCCAGCACCTCCATCCACTGCCTCCATCCACCCTCCACCTCCATCCAGCACTTCCATCCACCGCCTCCATCCACCCTCCACCTCCATGCATCCATCCACTGTCTCCATTCACCCTCCACCTCCATGCATCCATCCATTGCCTCCATCCACCCTCCACCTCCATGCATCCATCCACTGCCTCTATCCACCCTCCACCTCCATCCAGCACCTCCATCCACTGCCTCCATCCACCCTCCACCTCCATCCAGCACTTCCATCCACTGCCTCCATCCACCCTCCACCTCCATCCAGCACTTCCATCCACTGCCTCCATCCACCCTCCACCTCCATCCAGCACCTCCATCCACTGCCTCCATCCACCCTCCACCTCCATGCATCCATCCACTGCCTCCATCCACCCTCCACCTCCATCCAGCACCTCCATCCACTGCCTCCATCCACCCTCCACCTCCATCCAGCACCTCCATGCATCCATCACCTCCAGCTATTTCCTCCATCCATCCATCACCTTCACCCACCCTGCGCCTGCATCCAGCACCTCCATGCATCCTGTGCCTTCTCCATCCATTGCCTCCATCCATCCATCACCTTCATCCACCCTGCACCTCCGTCTATCCATTGCCTCCATTCATCCTGTGCCTTCTCCATCCATCACCTCCATCCACCCTGTGCCTCCATCCATCCATTGCCTCCATCCATTACCTCTGTCCACCCTTTGCCTCCAGCTATCCATTGTCTCTATCCATCCATTGCCTCTGTCCACCTTGTGCCTTCATGCATCCATGACCTCCATCCACTCTGTGCCTCCACTGACCCTGTGCCACCATCCCTGCTGCACCCCCATCCATCTCCCCGCAGCTCATGGGGTCCCTGGAGCTGCTTTCAGTGCCTCCCACCTCCCTGCAGGTGCTGACAGCGCTGGGCAGGACCTGGCACCCCGAGCACTTCACTTGTGCCCGCTGCGGGCAGGAGCTCGGTGCCCGGCCCTTCTTCGAGCGGGATGGGCAGCCCTACTGCGAGGATGACTATCACCAGGCCTTCGCGCCCTGCTGTGCCTACTGTGCCGGCCCCATCCGCGAGGTGAGGCTCCTCCAGCCCCCCTGCCCTGAACGCCCGGGCCCCTGCCTCACCCTGCCTCCTCCTGCAGAAGGTCCTCACGGCGCTGGACCAGACCTGGCACCCCGAGCACTTCTTCTGTGCCAGCTGCGGGAAGGTGTTTGGAGATGAGGGTACATCCCAGGGGACAGGCTGGGGGGTTCTGCCCCGCTCTGGGTAACCCCCGGCCCCGTCCGACCTCCTCCCAGCCTTTCCCTTGCCTCCTACCCTGAGCACCCCCATGGCCGTGACCCCTGTACCCCTGGCAGGTTTCCTGGTGCGGGACGGGAGGCCATACTGCCGCCAGGACTTCCTGGCCCTGTTTGCCCCCAAGTGCCAGGGTTGCGAGCGCCCGGTGACCGGCAGTTACCTGTCAGCGCTGAGCGGGGTCTGGCACTCCGAGTGCTTCGTGTGCACGGTGAGTGCGGGGAGGGCCGGGGGTGCCACGGGGCAAGCGTGTCCCTGCGGCCGTGCCAGCTGCCCCCATTCCGTGCCCGCAGGACTGCCTGAGCGGCTTCAGCAGCGGCTCCTTCTTCGAGCTGGAGGGCCGGCCCTACTGTGAGCAGCACTTCCACCAGCGCCAGGGCAGCATCTGCCATGGCTGCGGCCGCCCTGTCACCGGCCGCTGCGTCACAGCTGCGGGGCGCAAGTACCACCCCGAGCACTTCACCTGCACCTACTGCCTGCGCCCGCTGCACAAGGGCACGGTCCGCGAGCGCGGCAGCAGGATGTACTGCCAGGCCTGCCACGACAAGCTCTTCCTCTGAGCCCCGGCACGCAGCCGCCCCTCCCGGCTGCCCCTGGCATGGTCCCTGCTGGCACAAAAGGGATTTGCTTTGTTCCAGCCACCAGCCCCCCTGCTGAGCCAAGGTCCCCAGCCTCATCTCTGCCAAGCCAGGCATCCCAAGCATCGTTTCTTGTCATCCCCCCTCCAAGACATTCCTGGCATTGTCCCTGCCCAGCCACGTCCTAGACTCTGCCCCTTGACCTGACGCAATAAAACACTTGGCTTTGCCTTTGCTCTGCTCACTGGTGGCTTTAGGGACAAGGGCACAGAGCAAGATGGGAGGGCTGGAGCCCCCCCAGCCATGTGCCCCCATCAGCACTTCCCTGCCTGCAGGTGCACTGGGGTCCCAGCACCCAGGGGCCACGCAGCCCCAGCCTGCCTGGGGCGAAGCTCCAGCTCCAGCTCCAGCTGCACTGCACAGCACAGGGAAGCGGCACCACATGGGGCCCGGTCCCGCTCCAAAGAGCTGCCCCTATGCCCCAGCAAAAACCTGCCCAACAGCAACACGGCTCCAGAGCAAACCTGGCTGAGAGCAGGACCAGAAAACTGCTCCAGAACCGCAAACCCAGAGGTACAGGACTTGTGTTTGTTTCAGCGTGCACACAGGGGAGAAACCCGCGAGGGAATGGGGTGGTGGAGCCTGGCTCCGGGGTCCCTGGGGAGGGATGAGCACGGCCACGGCCCAGTGTGCTCTGCAGGGGCCCTGAGCCCGGCTGCTGGCGCTGCCCCCAGCACTGGTGCCGGCCGCCAGCCCCACAGGAGTGCAAATCCAAGCAGAGGCTTCCCAGCAAGGAGCCGGGCGCAGGGGGAGCAGCGCAGCCCCTGCAGGCACCACGGCCCGGGTTTAACCCCCATCTCCTGCCAGGAAGAGCGGGGTCTCTGCAGCCCTGGGAAGGGTTTGGCCGAGCAGCATCACCCAGAGCCCCCGGGCGGCAGCGGCCGAGGGCGGCACCCACACACTTTAAAAACTTTATTTATATAAAAAATCATCTTGTTGGAAAAGCGTTACAAGAGTGTGCGCGGGGGGGAGGGGCAGCCCCAGCCCCGCCCCCCCCGCGGGGAGCTGCTTTTTGGTTCATTTGGAATTAAACGTTACAAAAAGGAATTAGTGTTTTACATCGTTAAAGGAAGAGTCAAACCCCAGAGCAAACCCAATGAGCTGAGGGAGGGCTGGAGCCGGGCAGGGGGCAGCAGGGTGGGAGCTGGGGGGGGCAGGAGCAGGGCCCCAGCGGCTCCTCCGGGGGCTCCTGCTCCAGTTGCAGCCTTCTGCAGCGGCTTCCAGTTGTGCAGGGAGCCCAGGGGCTCCCGAGGATCGCAGCACTGAATGTACCACCACCACCACCGAGGGAGGAGGATGCATTCGCCTCAGCCCCTGGGGCAGCCCAGCCTCCCGGAAGAGGATGGAGACAAGAGACCTGCATCCCCTCAGTGAGGACAGCGGGGCTGGGACCCCCCCAAACGGGCTTCCAGCCCCACTGCAGCCAGTGGAGGCTCCCAGCGGGGAAGGGAAGAGCTCAGCTCTGCCAGGAGCCCGGGCACCCTTCCCCATTGAAGCCAACAGTACGATTCCAAGAGCTATTTCACAGTGGCAAAAGAAAGGCACATGTCACGAGGAGGCAGGGCAGTGGCAGCCCCGCCAGCGCCTGCTCCTCAGCCCGGGCACACAGGACACCCAAGAAGCTGCCTCCCCACAGGGACCCACCACCTCCCGTGCAGGGAGGCTCATCCCAAGCCCCTCGCACTGACCACCTTCCCCATGTAAGGATCCCTGCGCACACAGTGGGGGCCAGCAGCCCCATGCAGACCCCTCCGCAGGAACCAGAGCCAGGTCCTCCTTCCCATGGCCCCAAAGCCTTATTTAGAGCAAAGCAAGAGAAGTTATTGCTGTCTTTCCTTCCCCTCACAGCCGCCCTCACCCTGGTCCCACCGCCACCAGGGAGGGACGCTCCCGCTGTCCCCACAGCCCTGGCTGAAGAGTGATCCTGCACAAAAATATATCCTATAGGCAACAAACCAAACCAAACAAGCGGTGGCACGCGAGGTCCCAGTCTCCGTCCCTGCAGGCATCGGAGCAGAGGGAAGGTGTGGGAGAGAAGGCAGTTCCTGGTCAAGGCAGAGATCCGGAGCTCGTTTGCAGCATCCACGCCGGTCAATCCGGCAGAGTCGGGCAGGAGGGATTCACGCTGGAGGAAGGAGGTGGTGGAGGATGGGGAGGAAGAGTTACGGGTCGAGGCGTCCCGGAGCGGGAGATGCAGCGGCCCAGGGGAGGCAGAGTCCGGGCTGCCCCTGGGCCCAGGCGTTTGGCTGGCGAATTGGCACCAACAGTCCAGCAGAAACTCCAGGAATAAGACAAGGTCAAAGTCGGTCCATTCCACCACGAAGAGTTATATATATATATTTATATATATAATATATTATCAACCCCAACAGTGGAGGCAGGGAGGTCACAGCTAGATCTTCTGCTGTGGAGAGAAAGGGAAAGACGTCAGCATGCCCGGGGAGCAGGGGAGCAGCCGAGGTGTCATCACAGCCCGATGGTGATTGCAGGGATCAGTGATCAGAGCAGGACTGGCCTGGCCAAAGCACCCCAAGAGCAGAGCAGAGCAGAGCAGAGGGACGTGTCACTCCTGCTCAGATTGGGCAGGACACCACGGGACATACCGACACGGGGGAGAGCATGGGAGCATCCTCCTGCACCTCCTCTCCCTCAGGCTGCGGCTCCTGCCCCTCGTCCTGCTGCAGACACACCGGGTTAGTGGGGCCGATGGAGCGGGGGGGTGTTAGTTGGGGGAGCCCAGCTCTCGCCTCCTCCTGCCAGCCAGGACAGTGATCGGTCAACTCCTGCCCCCAGCCCCACTCACATCCCATCAGGAGGAGCTGCTCACCATCAAGGGCGCTGCCTTCACCGGCTCCATATCTCCAAGGTCACCAGATCTGTCCAGTGTCCTGCTGTGGTCCCGCTCATTGAGTGTGGAATAGTTGTCTGGAGCAGGAAAGGGGACAGTCAGTCATGTCACCTCCATGGGAGGCAGCATCATCCCCATAGGAGATGTGATCTCTGCCCCCTCCCAGCATACCAAGGAAGCAAGATGCTCCCACCACGCCAGTCCCAGTCCTACCTGGTCCCATGCTGCTCATCTGGATCTCCTCCCGGGAGGATTTCTTGTCTACAAGCATGGGAGAGCAGATCAGACACAGCCCCTGCAGCCACAAGCAGCAGAGGAACCGCTGCCTACCCCAGCTACAAGACCCCAGACCCAGCTGCATCCGCAGCACTGTTGACCTAAGGATGCTACAGGATCCACATGAACATAGGCCCTTTCTAGCCCTGAGAAGCCATCTAAAGCCCAAATCAATGGCATTATGTGAGCAGCTGTGGCTGCCAAGAAAGCCAGGGCTGAAGAGCAGGGAGGGGATGAAGGCCAACTCTTCCGCACACCCCCAAGGGCAATGGTGACAGCGGGGACAGGCACTGCAGGGGGGCACGTACCTGTTTTTTGGTTCCTGTCGATGAGAGGCAAGGTGCTGTCATCAAAGGAGTTGCCTCCCTGGGTCCGAGAGGCGTTGCTCAGGTTCACCTGCAGCATCAGACAGTGACCACTCACACCCTGGCCCATATATTCCTTCCTGATCCGCACATCCCACCAGCACCAGGATGGGCCCAGGAACCCTACCACAGCCCTTGAGCAAGGGGTGAAGCAACCAGAGGGTGCTGCAGAGCTCAGGGCTGCAGCCACGCCTGAGTGGAGGTGGCTGGCTGGGCTGGGGCAGCACCCAGCCCTCAGCAAACAAGGACAGCCCCAGCCTTTGCCAGTGTGCTAGTGGGGTCCTTCAGTCTGCCATCTCAGTGGAGAGAGGGGACAGAGATCCATGGGGCAGCAAAGACACAAGGGTTACTGATGTGGTAGAAACCATGGAAGCACACATGAATATGGTCACATAGGAACTGGGGCTTCTTCCCCCGAAAAGGTGATGGGATCAATAGCCCAACTGAAGTGCACCTACACCAATGCACAGCAGGGGCAACAAACAGGAAGAGCCGGAAGCCATCGTGCAGCAGGAGAACTATGACATTTGCCATCACAGAAGCATGGTGGCATGACTTCACAGCTGAGGAGCTGCAGTGAATGGCTATGAACTCTTCAGAAGGGATAGACAATGAAGGAAAGGCAATGGGGTAGCCCTGTAAGGGAGTGTTTTGATTGTCTGGAGCTTCATGATGGCAATGACAGGGTTGAGCGTTTATGGGTAAGAATCAGGGGGAAGGCCAAGAGGGCAGGTGTCATGGTGGGAGTCTGTTACAGAGTTCCCAACCAGAATGAAAAGGCAGACAGTATGTTCCCGTATGAAGACAGGCTGACAAAGTCGGGACTGTTCCACCTGGACAAGAGAAGCTGCGTGGAGACCTCAGAGCAGCCTTCCAGTATCTGAAGGGGGCTATAGGGATGCTGGGGAGGGACTCTTCATTAGGGACTGCAGTGACAGGACAAGGGGTGATGGGTTCAAACTGAAACAGGGGAAGTTTAGATTGGATCTAAGGAGGAAATTCTTTCCTGTGAGGGTGCTGAGGCACTGGAATGGGTGCCCAGGGAGGTTGTGAATGCTCCATCCCTGGCAGTGTTCAAGGCCAGGTTGGACGAGGCCTTGGGTGATATGGTTTAGAGTGAGGTGTCCCTGCCCATGGCAGGGGGTTGGAACTGGATGATCTTAAGCTCCTTTCCAACCCTAACTATTCTGTGATTCTTTGGGAAAGAAACCGAGCCGTGAGGAACCTTGTTCTTCAGCACTGCCACTGGCCTGCAGTCCTGCAGTCCTGCAAGCTCCCCTGCCTGCACATCTGCAGCTTGGGCGGGACACATGGCTTGAAAGTTCTACAGAGTGGTTCTTCCTTAGCAGAGACTTCCTGCAGCCACCTGCGGAGGGTGGCAGAGGGGACACCTCCCAGGCTGTCAGTCCCATCAGCAAGTTAAGAGCTGAAATCCAGTATCGCTGAGCTCCAGGAACACTCTCCCCCTGCTGCAGGACCCCCCCTCCTACCCTAGCCACAGCAGGGCACCTCCATACCTGGA